TCGGGAATAGGAATTTTGGGTATTCCCATTTTTGGAGCAGCAACAAGCGATATTAACATTCAAGGACGTTGTGGCTAATAGTCTTCGGGTTGGGGGGGCAGGAATTGCCTCTTCATACAGGGGTTTCAGTTAGTTTACCACCTCGCATGAAAACTCTCCTAACCGTCCCTGTTAGAAATATTGAAAGACAAGAGGGTTATATAAGGAAGTTAGATACACAGCGGGTGTTTACGTAGGTGAAGTACTGGCCTCGCAAGAGAATGGATTTGTTAGGATATTCGCTATTAATACTACTCACGATAGTGTGACTCTTTCAATACCCCCCGTTGAATTAGAAGAGTTTATTGAAATTCTCCTTCGCCGCGTTCGGCTCGGACGGGAAATCCAAATAAGGGTCGGTCCAAAGCCGATGCTACTCGGCTCGTTCAATTGGCGAAGCTTCTCGATATGCAGGGTTTGAGCGATTCTGAACAGGCTAGTATTTTAAAAATCGTGAATGAATTTCCGTATCAATTTTATCTGCCTTCGGATAAATTAAATTCTACTAGTACAATCAAACATAAAATAGTGACTACGGATGAAATACCTATAAATACGAAAACAGTATCGGTTTCCACTAGTTCACAAAGAGGAAATACAAAAACAGATAGACTCACTGCTTGAAAATAGGATAATTCAGCCATCTGCTTCTCCTTATAATTCGCCTGTTTGGGTTGTACCTAAAAAACCTGGCCCTGATGGTAAGCCTCGCTGGCGCATGGTGATAGATTACCGTAAGTTAAATGAGAAGACTATGAATGATGTGTATCCTCTCCCTAATATTTTGGATATCTTGGATCAATTGGGGGCCGCCAAGTATTTTAGTACCCTCGATCTTGCCTCTGGTTTCCATCAGGTCCCCATACATCCGGATTCTAAATCCAAGACCGCTTTCTCAACTGTTAATGGGTATTATGAATTTAATAATATGCCCTTCGGGCTTAAAAATGCTCCAGCCACGTTTCAGAGGTGCATGGATTTGGTTTTGGTTGGTTTACAAGGAGTCGAGCTTTTTGTATATATGGACGACATCGTCATATATGCTGATTCTTTGGAAGAGCATACTCGTAAATTGAGAATTCTCTTGGCTCGGTTGCAGAATGCCGGTTTTAACGTTACAAACCCGAGAAATGTCGATTCTTGCGACGAGAAGTTGCCTATTTGGGTCACGTTATCTCTGCCAAAGGAGTGAAACCAGACCCCGGGAAGATCATGGCTGTTAAGTCATTTCCTATTCCAAAAACCAGGAAGAATGTTAAACAGTCTCTGGGGTTAGTTGGTTATTATCGACGTTTTATCCCTCATATGGCAAAAATTGCTAAACCTCTGACACGATTGTTGAAGGCAGAAGTACCTTTTGTCTGGAGTAAAGATGTCAAATTCGCTTTCGAGAGTTTACGTGATATCATTTGTTCGGAGCCGTTGCTCCAATTTCCCAACTTTCAACAGCCATTCCTCGTAACAACTGATGCTTCTAATTATGCAGTAGGAGCTGTATTGAGTCAGGGTCAGATCGGAAAGGATCTCCCAATTGCGTATGCATCTCGGACCCTTAATGACGCTGGAAATAATTATTCAACCATTGAAAAAGAATTATTAGCGATTTTATTTGCAATTGAACATTTTCGACCGTATTTGTATGGCCACAAATTTATTTTAGTCACTGACCATCGACCGCTGATTTGGCTGCACAACGTAAAAGATCCCACTTCCCGTATCATGAGATGGCGTATTAGATTAAACGAATACGATTATGAGATGGTCTATAAACCTGGGAAAATCAATTCCAATGCAGATGCATTATCCCGAAATCCTGTCTTGTCGATTCTCAAAATATCTTTCCTTTTCCATCTAAGTGCTTGACAATTCATACCGAGACTGAAAGTACGGACGCCTCCCCTCCAAGGCGTTTGTAAAGGGTTGTCGTAGGCGCCGACGATTTGCCAATTGCAATCGCTAAGGAGGTCGGGGACATTGACGTTGACGGTTCTATGGGAGACGAAAATGAACGTCTAGTTGCGGGAGTTTTTCTTGTGGATAGTGAACTAGTAGTGGGTGTAATGAGACTGATAACAAAACAAATCATTCGGGTTCGGACTCAAATGATAGCGACGAGTATCATACGGCAGATGAGGAAGAGACATTTCCTTCCATAGAAGCATCTCTCCAGGGAGGAAAATCCTCTAAAGACTTAAATACTAACAGTAATGAGTGGAGGATCGCTCCGCAGAGGTACGGAGGACATGTTTCGACTCGGGAGTCTGTCGGACATCGGAAAGGCCGACTTTGAAGGCACCCCGCCACAGGCACCGTTAGGGGCTGTCTCTGTATCTCAGGGTAAAAGTGCTCTGCCAGAAATTGGCAACAAGAGCCCCCGTTTCGTGTCGAAAGCGGAGACTCGGCACCTTCTTATTCCCGACTCATTTCGTGGCACTGGCTGTGCGCAGTCCAGTTCATCCCGGATGAGGTTGTGGCGGAGTGTGGGCGAGTCTGGTGCTTCAGGAATGACAGAATCAGGTAAAGAACGGACACGATCCTCCGTAGAAAAGGTATATGAAAATGACTCTCATACCCATGATAAGTTCAAAGTTCTCTTGACAAATTCCATTCCATCCGTACAAGCATCCCCCTCCTTCTTCATTTCCAAGTATCATTTATTGCAAGGACCATCTTTATATGCGGAAAGACAATCTTCTTCATTTTTTTTCTACTGATTGTCAAGTTTCTTCACAAATCAGTAATGATTTGTTAACACAAGGAAGGTTTTCCATTGGTCAGGTACAATCGTACAATGTTCACGTGGGTGAGGCAATGGTTTTCCCCGGTGGAAGTCAACATATTTTCCACTTATTTTCCAAGGTGAAATCTGTTGAACAACAAAATTTTAGACATCTCGCGCCTTCAATATCATCCCTTAAAAATCTCATGGAAACATTAGGTGTGATGTCCATCAGTTTATCTAAAAGTGACAATAACATTGAGCCTATTGAATGGAATTCTCTTGAATATCTTTTAAAGCAGACATTTAATAGTTCACAATACAATATTACGGTTTGCACTGGTGAAATCATTTCTCCCCCTTTATCAAGAAGACTTTCGATTATTCGGGAATATCATGAGTCTGTAGTGGGTGGCCATCAGGGTGTGACTAAGTTATTCAAAAGGATAAGGGAGGATTTCTATTGGACAAAAATGGGGGAAAGATATCTCAACTTTTGTCCGCTCTTGTTCCAACTGCCAAAGAAATAAAATTCTTTCTGTTAAAACTAAACAGCCAATGCGCATAACAGATACCCCTCAGAGAGCTTTCGAGAAAGTACAAATGGACATTGTGGGACCGTTACCTGTGACTAAAAGGGGTAATCGGTATCTGTTGACTCTGCAGGATAATTTGACGAAGCATTCTGATGCTATTCCTATACCAACTATGGACTCCATTACTGTTGCAGTTGCTCTTGCAGAACAGTTTATAAGTAGGTTCGGTTGCCCTCGTGTTATTCAAACTGATCAGGGAAGTAATTTTGTTAGTGAAATAATGAGTAACTTTTGCAAAATATTCAAAATACAGAGAATTACATCAACGGCATTTCACCCTCAATCATTGGGCTCTCTTGAACGAGCACATCGCGTTTTTATAGATTATTTAAAGCATTATTGTGGAAAAAACTGATTGGGACGATTGGATACGCTTTGGAATATTCTCATATAATACTTCCGTGCATGAAGCTACAGGTTTCTCCCCTCATGAGCTTATTTTCGGTACAAAAGCCAACATACCATCAGAATTTAGTCGCCAAGAAATACCGCGAACTTTCGTTGAACATCTAGATGATTTGTTTACTCGGATCACGACTACTCAGGCTACAGCAGCGATGATAGGAGCCCCCTCCCGCCAGGCGGGGTAGGGTCGGACCGGATGGGGTGGCAGTGCCTCCTGTCCGGGTCCGGCGCACGGAGCGGCACCCTCGGTGGCCTGGTGCGGCCATGAGCTGCCGGCCTCCGAGGGGTAGAAAAGGGGTCGCGGCGGTTGCGAGTTGGGGCTCGCAGCCGCCACTAGACGCGGCCCCGGGACGGATGGCGGCAGGACGATGTGGCCTCGTCCTGCCGCTATGAGACAGGGCGATTACCGGGGGACCGTTTGTCCCCCCGCGGGTGGGCGCAAAGCGCGGGCACGGGGAGGATACCGGAAGTATACTTCGAGCGATTCCCGGTATCCTCCCAAATCGTGCGGAAGGGTCACCGTGGGGTTTTTAGTGGGTAGGTCCCGCGCCCGTTATAATGGGCGCGGGGAATCCCACACACCCCTCCCGCCTCTCCCCAAAGAGGTGGGAGGGAGTCTTTCGAAGATTTTCCCCACGAAAAGGCTACAGCAGCGATTAACCTAGAACAGGCAAAAGAAAGGAGTAAAATAAGGTATGATAAAAATGTAAATCCCCGTAAATTTATTGTAGGTGACGATGTGTATTTACTTAGAGAACCTAAGACATCTAAGTTTGATTCTAGTTGGTTAGGACCATATAAAGTAGTTGAAATATTTAACGATCTCACTATTGAAATAGCTATAGGAAAAAATAAGACTAAAATAGTTCATGCGAATAAACTTAAGTTAGCCTGTATAAGGCTAGATCCAGTGTAAATAGTTTAACCATAAGTATTAGATATATTGCTGTACTTTTATATGAACTATATTGGATAAGAATATTTAGATAAGTTTGGTTAGGGCGTTTGATAACTCCTGGATGTCAGCTATGCGTTGTACTATAATTGATTTAATATTACCTATATAGTAATAGAATAACTATATCTTATTACTGTAAAATGTTATCATATAACTATTATTCTTCAACTCGAGCTTCCTGTGTGACAATGGGATGGTCTATTGTAAAGTACTTATTCATTCAATTTTGCGTACTTAAGTTAGTATTGATGTATTGTTTTCTTTTTTGAAAAGTTGTTTCCATTGGAAACATCTTTTGTATATGAAGGGAGGTGTTTGCGATCTCCGCTGGTATCAGAGATGCCAGAAAAGCACCGCCGGGTGCACACGCACACATGCCAGATACGCGTACGTGAGCTCGTGGAGTTTCGGAAAGTCGACAAAGGCAAACTGACGCATGCCCTCTTTCTCGATTCTCCGAAGCTGCCCGAAAGTAATTTCGGATCGCCTCGTGGGAGACGAGAGAGAAAGGTTCACATTTGCCTTCTCGCTCTTAACAACTGAAATCCGACCTCCAGTTAACGGCATACGATTTGGATTCTCGACTGCCCAGGCATTTTTACTTTCCGACCTATGTAGGCGCACATAAGCAAAGTACCCATAATGAAAAAAAAATTTTGTAAAATTTATTTTACGGAAATACACGTTTTAAGACCTCCTGATCATATTTTAATTATTGAAAAAAAAGAAATTTTTTTTTATTCCCATGTATGAGCACACATATGTATATTATTAATACGATTGAATATAAATAGCTGAATGAATTTAAATGAAACTTAGTATATGTATACAATGTATCGGGGAATCGTCGTCGAGTTTGCTGCGTTCGACCGACGAGCGTAGCGAGACGCCGGCAACGTTGGAGAAAACAAACGCATACGGACAACGAAGATATTAGGAGAGTCGCATGGTAACGTTCGGTGTGCGAACACGTATTTTATGCATTTATGTTACGGCCGTGGGGCCAGCTTAGTACATCTACCCTTTACGTTTATACTTACTGTGTTTTTCTAATCTAAATATATACATATATATCCACCTATTATTACATTAGTGCTTCATTCCTGACTTTCCCGGAACAAAGACTACTACAGCTTCAGAAGTGGGATAAAACAACCTGAACATTTGTGTTAGTTTTGTTAAATTTGGTGGAACGGGAATATTGACTATGGTGTCTTTGAAAGATATTCCGAGGATACACGTAAACCTGGGAAGGGTTGCGGCTCAGTCGATTCGCGCTCTGCACAGGCTCGTTTTCGATGAAGAGGGCGACCGAAACAACCGCAAGCGGCTAAGGCATTTTACGGGTTTTACGTTCGAAAGTGCGACTGAGCTTGGATACAAGGTTGCGTCGGTGATGGATGCATTTAGTTTGAGCGAGTTGATCGGGATCGCCGGTATACTGAACATCGACTCTGAGGGACAAAAAGAAGAAATTGGACAACGGGTTTGCAAGCATCTGTCCGATTTAACGTTGTTGAAGGAAGCTAACGCAGCGATGACCCTTTCAGAAGAGGAATCGGAAGACGAGGTAGTGGAAATGCCTGCCAGAAGCCGTGATGATACACCTAGATTTGCGTTAAATTTTCGAGATGTGGAAGACTCGATACGACCGTTTAACGGAACCGATGGATATCCCGTGGAGAGGTGGATGGAAGAATTTGAGGAAAATGCGACGTCATTCGCATGGTCCGACCTGCAAAAAACTCTGTTCGCGAGAAAATGTTTGAAGGGATTGGCGAGATTATTCGTGCAAGGTGAGAAGGGACACGAAAAGTTGCGCACCAGGAAAATGCAGCGGGACGAATCGGTGCACGAATATTTTTTAAAAATGAAGGAAAGTGCGGTACAAGGATCGATTGAATCCGAATCGCTAATACAGTACATTGTGGACGGGATTCCAGACGAGCCAATGGGAAAAGTTCATCTTTACGAAGCCAAGCATCTGAATGAACTTAAGGATAAATTAAAAATTTATGAACGAGTGCGGAACGTAAGTCGACCGGGGGTGAAGAAAGCACCTGTGACGCCGACGACCGGTGCAGCGAGCACGAGCAACGGAACGGGGAAGACGCATACGACATCAGGATACGTCAGACCACCACCTCGATGCTTTAACTGCAACGACGTGGGACATTTGGCCAACGCCTGTCCGAAGCCAAAAAGAAGCCCAGGATCGTGCTACATCTGTGGATCGGTCGAGCATCAGAAGCAGTCTTGTCCGCGGCGATCGGAAGCGTTGAGGGAAGGGAGAGGAGCGAGGAAGAGCGAGATGAATACGCACCTGGTTAATTTAAGGGCAAGCGAGATAAGTCCATGTTACACCGTCGAATTAATTTCAGATCTAGGTAAGATCGAAGCAGTTATCGATACCGGAAGTCCGGTATCATTTTTAAGTCGGAGATTAGTTCCCGCGAATGTTCAATTAAATAATTACGATCGTACGATGCGATTCGAAGGAGTGAACAGAAGCGCGATAGAAATATTGGGCCAGTTGAGGGAAAAAACATTAGTTTCGGGTTGCGAAGCAATACTCGATTTTTACGTGATTCCAGATCGAACGCTTAGTTGTGATTGCTTATTAGGTCGTGATTTTATTAATAATGACAACTTAGATGTTACGATCGGGAAATCGGTTATTATTCGCCCGAGCTCGATTGCGGAAATAATGAAGATAGATGTGATAGATGATAAAATAAATAACGATATTCTGGACAATTTAATAGTTAATCCGAATTTAGAATACGAGTGGCAGGAAAAAGTAGGCCAAATTGTTAACGAGCATTACGTGAAACCGGATAGACCCGAACTTCCAGATACAAAATTAGAAATGGAATTAATTTTGAAACCGAATCATCAACCCTTTTACTACAATCCGCGACGTTTATCGTACTGCGAAAAGAGTGCAGTGACAGCAATAATTCAGGATCTATTAAGTCGAGAGATTATCCGTCCAAGCTCATCGCATTATTGTAGCCCGATTGTGTTGATAAGGAAGAAAAATGGACAGTATAGGATGGCGATGGATTACAGAGATCTAAACAAATTAACATTGCGAGATAATTTCCCTATTCCTAGGATAGAGGATCAAATTGATCAATTGCGGAACAAATCGTACTTTACCCGGTTAGATTTGAAGGATGCATTTCATCACGTTTTTATGAAAGAGAACTCAATTAAATACACGGCATTTACATGTTTTATGGGTCAATTTGAATACCTACGTATGCCTTTTGGGTTATCAAACGGCCCATCATTTTTTATGAGATTTATTAATAACGCATTCCAACAATTATTAAATCAACAAAAAATTTTGATATATCTAGATGATATTTTAATTGCCACCGAAACCCCTTGTGAAAATTTAGAGATACTTGCAGAAGTTTTTAAGGTAATAGTTAGAAATTGTTTAGATTTAAAATTAGCCAAATGCGCTTTTCTACTTACGGAAGTAGTCTATCTAGGTTATCGTATAGACTCGCAAGGCATTAGACCGAGTGAAGAAAATCTAAAGGCTGTGTATGATTATCCTATCCCCAGAAATTACCGCGAACTGCAGAGCTGGTTGGGTTTAGTTTCGTATTTTAGGAAATTCATAAAAAATTTTGCAGTAATAGCAAAACCGCTGTATGACTTGTTAAAATCCAAAGTCAGTTTTCGATGGGACGACGAGTTGCTAAATTGTTTTGAAAATCTGAAAAGAATATTAATGTCGGAACCCGTGTTAGCTATTTACTCGGTACACGCAGAGACTGAGTTGCATTGCGATGCGAGTTCACACGGATTTGGATCGGTCCTATTGCAAAAACAAACAGATGGTAAATTCCACCCTATCTGTTATTTTAGTAAAAGAACTACTCAAGCAGAGAGCAGATATCACAGCTTCGAATTAGAAGCATTAGCAATAGTTTACGCGCTGGAACGTTTTAGAATTTATTTGCAAGGAATACCGTTCAAAATTGTGACGGATTGTAACAGCCTGAAATTAACTTTGGAGCGAAAGGAATAAACCCACGAATTTTGCGATGGTCATTAATTTTACGAAATTATCAATATACTTTGGAACACCGAACGGGGGATAAACTAGTACATGCGGACGCACTAGTCGCGAATTTAGTGTGTTGATTATCACGGAAAATAGTTTCGAACAGAACCTTTCTATTTTACAGGATCAAGATCCACGGTTAAAAGTATTGCGAGAGGAATTGCAAAATTCCGAAAATAAATTTTACGAATTGAGCAATGGATTGGTTTACCGGAAGGTTAATAACAAACGTTTATTTTGTGTTCCATCTTCAATGGAGGAAAATATAGTTAGGAAAAATCACGAAGAAATAGGTCATCAAGGGGTAGATAAGACCCTCGAGTATATTTCGCGAATTTATTGGTTTCCGCAGAAGAGGCAGAAGATCCAAAAATGGATTGCGAATTGTTTGAAATGTATCACGTATTCGGCCAATGCGAACCGGGTAGAAGGCATATTAGAATGTCCGGATAAAAATTCAGTAACATTTTACTCCGTGCACATTGATCACTACGGTCCGTTGGAAACGAACAAATCACCGTTATAAGTATATTTTCGAAGTGATTGACGCATTTACGAAATTTGTGAAATTTTACCCGACCGTCAGTACCAATGCGGACGAAGTAATACGGCATTTACGAACTTATTTTTCCGTCTATAGTAAACCGTACAAAATTGTTTCGGATCGAGGCAGCGCATTTACCTCGAATAAATTTAAGGAATTTTTATCGGAATTGAACATACAGCAGGTGTTAATTGCGACCGCAACACCACACGCAAACGGTCAAATCGAAAGAATAAATCGTTCTCTTACACCGATGTTAGCGAAATTAAGTCCTAGTGCCGGTACATGGAATCGAGTATTAGCAGAGGTGGAATATGCAGTTAATAATACGGTAAATCGTTCTACGGGAGACACGCCGAGTCGATTAGTATTTGGAATCAATCAAGTAGGTACTGTGTGTGATGATTTGCGTAGGGTGCTAAACGAACGGGATGTTGATGATCAGGAACTATCTACGATAAGAGAGAATGCCGTCGCGAAAATTCGTGCAACCAACGAATATAATAAAAAATATTATGACAAACGACACAAATTACCAGTACAGTACAGTGTAGGTGATTATGTAGTTGTAAAAAACATAGAGGTTACGACGGGAGTTAACAAAAAGTTGTTGCCAAGATTTAAAGGTCCGTATGTCGTCAAGAAGGTGCTTGACAAAAATCGATATGTTATTAGTGACCCGGAGGGGCATCAAGTAACCCAACTCCCGTTTGAAGGTATATCTTCCCCAGAAAATATGCGAAAATGGGTGAATTTGGATAATGAAAACAGTTAAACAATCTGTTTCTTATACTTTCTTCTGTCTTACCGGTTATATTTTGTGTTTAGTTTACTTGATGCGTCGCATTGTGAATGTTTGGTAATTCATATTGTTTGTTTTAGATTGTAATATGCGTTTCATAAAAAATATTGTATTTAGTATATTCTATGGTTTACTTGTGCTATGCGTTAATTTTATTAGTTTGTGCCATGACGATTGAGGGCAATCGTTGGTCAGGGTGGCCGAACTGTAGTATATGTATACAATGTATCGGGGAATCGTCGGCGAGTTTGCTGCGTTCGACCGACGAGCGTAGCGAGACGCCGGCAACGTTGGAGAAAACAAACGCATACGGACAACGAAGATATTAGGGGGGTCGCATGGTAACGTTCGGTGTGCGAACACGTATTTTATGCATTTATGTCAGGATGGCCGTGGGGCCAGCTTAGTACATCTACCCTTTACGTTTATACTTACTGTGTTTTTCTAATCTAAATATATACAGATATATCCACCTATTATTACATTAGTGCTTCATTCCTGACTTGCCCGGAACAAAGACTACTACACGTGTACACTTCATGCAACGTGGATCTTATACACGATTGGTGGCAAATCTTTTCAACCTCGCCCATCAAACATTGCACATAATCATCGTATGTTATAGTTCGTGCTACAACATTACTCTTGACACCTTTCACCTTCTTCGTATCGTTCTTGCCATCGACTTGCATGGCGTACATCTTTGCTCTCAGTCCAACAAATTCGGTCATAATCGCACCATTATTTTCGTCTTTCATTAAACCTGGTATCTTCTTATTGACAAGCGGAATACCATATCGATTATCTGATGGATAATCGCTCGTGTCAAATCGGGCAATGTCTCGTATCATAAGTTCATAAATATTGTCACACTCGATGTGATAAATTAAACTGTCTGTATCGGTATACATCATTTTACATTTATCGCTATGTGTGGGTAACATGTAGTCGTGATGGAATTCATACAAACAAACCTTAGATATATCTAGTATACACATACCCACATAGATTGGTTTGTTCAATTTTACGGACAGTTTGCGCAGCTCGATTGCAACTAAGTTTTCCGAAAATATGCTGCGACTGTGAAAATTTGGTTTAGCGATCAATGCCGCCGCACCATATCTCCCTTCCCATTTTGTTACTAATTTTACATCTACATGATTGCGCACATTCTCCATAGTTTTACCAAACACTGCATTGTTCATTAACTTGTATAAATTTTTCTCAAAATCATTTGTGGCAAGAGTTCTAAACTTTGTATTTAGTTCGATGTAATCGCGAAGCCATGGCGATTGTGAAAACTGTAATACGCGGTGAACTTCAGTTACGCGAAGGCCGTGACGAATACATTGCTGCAGATTGCGGTAATGTATTACGTAACGATTCTTATCGTATAGAGTTGCGAGGAGCTTTTCCTGGCGCTTGCCGGGCGGTTTATCGCGCGTTGGGCAGAACGGTAAATCTGTGTGTGCATCATGCAGATGTTGTGGATACTCCAGATCGACTTCCAAAATATACCCCATCGTTGAGTCTAACGCTATGGCCATTACATCTATATCTTTGTTGTTGACCCACTGAAAATTGGCGTATGGCAATGGTTGACACATTGCCCAGCCGTACAAATTATTTACATCGAAATACATTAAATATGACGACGGTTGCGATGCATCGTACGACTGCATGTACTTGTTGTTGGCTCGTGCGCGTCTGTTGGAACATTGACTTAAACCACCGCGTATACCACGTTCGATGAATAGGACCATGTCGATATCGGTAAGAAGTTCGAAATTGATACGTGTATGCTTCAGCATGGCATCCCACGTAAAACCTGGCAGAGTATAATAGTGCGCGGGATCGAGTCCGTAACTTGTGATGCAACTATTGCGAAAATTTTCAAAAATATCTGCCAACAGCAAGACATCAGTCTTTAGATACAAATCGCTATACTCGCCGAGCGTTTGAATGGAGAACCGCGTCCACACGTTGACGGCGTGTTCGTAGTCATTTTCGGATACTGTATCGCCAGTCAAGGAACTGTAAAATGAATTGCGCGATGGCAAACATGATTGCTCCAACTTTTCGACACAGTCAATGTACTCGTACGGGAACACCCCTTTCCGTGTCAATAAATCAAAATCTTCCGTAGATAATTTTTGAAACTCAGACCGTGTAATTTGAAGTTTATCTTTACTAAGAAAAGATGCCAATTTCTCGAGACTTGTATTTAAAAATTTAAACGAATCGATGAATTGCAATTTTATGCGCTTGCGCGAGTTCCATTCTTCATCCGTGCATTCAATGTATTTTGTAAATGAAATGTACTTCTCTTTTGTTATCGGCAATACAGTGACGTCGCCCTCAAATGCCGTGGCTATCTCCTTGATAATAAAATGTGAATCATAACCGGATAAATTGTGAAAAACCACGGGGATGACAAATGCGTCTTTATAATTTAGATTGTGATTTGAATGTGCGGGGCCTCTGTACCGACCGGTCAAATGACAATGATCGCGTACCCGTTTGTCATCTTGTGCAAACGGTCTTTCACATATGTGACAGTGTGCTGCAGTATTAAAATTTTGCAATTGTTCAGTTGATAAATTTTCCATGGGTACATTGGTCGATAAAATGGACTTTACACGATGCGACAAATCTTTGAGTTGTCTCACAAACCATGACACGCAGTCAGGATCGCGACGATATTGAAACGTAGATAACGAGTCGTCGTACGAGCACCGCACATAGTATCCCACACTAAATACACGATGATGCTGATATGTGTATCTTGGCGCTTCTCGATCAGTATCCGTTTTCTCCAGGATGCATTCCAGATCGGCATACACGATAAACGGAACACGCTCTTTCCTGCTGTAGTTGCTGAAGCTGAGCCACTTCCTACCATCATCATTTGGTAATATGATTGCACAATCATTCATCTTCTCACAATCCATGGTGTGAGCTTCCAGCTTCTCATTTGAACTAAAGTAGTGCAAGCATCTGCAATATGAGACATAATTTTGGATTTATCTGTGATAAGAGACATAATTTTTATCTAAGAAAAAATATTTAAAAATTTATTTTATACATACCTATCGCAAAAGTATTTTCGACCATTATGTTTACTCAATTGCGTGCTCACGAGACGAGATAAATTCTTGATCCATGCGAAATGTCCCACGCCGTTTGCTCCTTCTAAATACAGCAAATTGACATGCCTCTCCATCTTCTTATCGGCGACTCGTATCGGTAGCACCTTCTTATTCTCAATGGTATAGACGTTGATGGAGATGTTGTTAATATGTTCAAACTTTTTAATTTGGTTCAAAGTCATTGGAAATTCAATATCCTGGATATTCAACACTGTTGTATAATGAGGATATGTCGATGCCCGATATATGTGATTTTTGGCTGGATGCAGAGCAGCCACCACTGACCATGCGAAACATGCGTTGTCCGTCGAGCATACGCTGATTACAGCTTTCTTTAGTTGTATCTCACGCGGTAATTGTATGGTACATCCTGCCTTCATCGGCATAAATTTATTTGCATTAACAGTTAAATTAAGTATACGCGTCAGCGCCCACCCACTATCGCGTTCCTGAAACTCGTCTAAGGATGCTAGAATGGGTTCGATGACGCGTAAATCATACCATTCGCGTAGGTCAGACAAGCGAAACAGTTCACAATTTTTTGTGTTAACACTTTTGTTTGCACATTTATTACCAGCCACAAATTCACCGTTAAATATAGTATTTATTTTTACACTGTCATGTTTCAGCACAATGTTCCACACATGATCGAGTACAATGTCCCTAGCATCTTCGAGAAAATTGCGGGGCTCTATATGGTTAGAATTTATCACCACACCGGTCAATATACGGTTAACGAAAGCCGTATCAATTTCACGCCATCTGAGTCTTGCACTGTGTCCAGCACCCACATGTACAAATCGAATGCGTGTCGAATCTTTCAGACTTTCCAATCTAGCGATACGAGCAATCAGTGATTGTTTTTCACCGATTGAGAGTCGCGGTCTCTTTATTCGACTTCGTTCCTCCAACGAATTGAGATAATCATCAAATCGATGTTCCCATAAATTGTATTCATCCTTCGACCTTAATTGAGCGGCCTGCTCGTACAGCTCCTGCTCTTGATGACTCATACTACCGTTTTTGCGTTGCCGTACACAATGATGCTTGCGATATATTACAAAATCTGTGCTCGATTATACTCTCGGTGATGCTTGCGATATATTACAAAATCTGTGTCCCGATGATGCTCTCGGTGATGCTCCCGATATATTAAAGAAATCCCCGTCGTCGATTGCAATGTTATATGCTTTGTAGAAGTTGCAAGTTTGGACGTGTTCAAGGTAATCTGTAAACGCTTTTACATAACTTACACTTTTCGTGAGTTGCAACGAGTTGCTAATTCCGACGTGTATCTGGTTGAAAAAGTATTACGTAAAAAGGGGAACAGTGTGTACGTAAAATGGTTAGGACTCAATAACTCGCACAATTCATGGATCCATAAAAGTAATGTTTTATAATCATTTGTTGCTTTAATAAATATATCATATTTTAAAGGCATCTAATTTCTTTTCCCGCGCCCATAATGCTTGTCAATGTTATACGTTCTGCTGAGGTTGCATTTTTGCACGTGTTCATGGTAATATAAAAGATATTTGCAAACATTGCACTTTTCGCAGAAGAACACGTGACATCAAAAAATTCCTCTCCCCCCCCGCACTATGCCCCACCCGCTTCGCATGATACACATGATTTCGGTCGATTCGTACCGCGAATGTGATGTCATAGAATTTGCACGTTTGGACGTGTTCAAGGTAATCTAAAAACGCTTTTGCAAAAGTTGCACTTTTCGCAGAAGAATACGTGACATAAAAATTCCTCTCCCCGCCGCACTATGCCCCACCCGCTTCGCATGATACACATATTTTTTATGTGCTGCACACTCGTTTTGATAGTATCGTCGTCGCCGTCGTCGTGAAACGTTATGGATTCTACAAACATGAATTACTACATTTCTCGCGAAACGGTGTGCATAAGTCGCGAGTAAGTGTTATTATCATCATTTCCTTAGCATTATTACTTACCTTTCATTCTTTACATACTTTTTCTATATGTTACGATAGCAATAAACAACGTTCGACGCCTTATATACTGGGGAGGAGGTTTGCCCTCACATCCACGGCATACAAGTACCTGGATATTAGAATCGCGGTAGGATCTGTGTCCGCTGTGGAAATTATTCTTGGCGATACTCGAGGAAATGTGTTGTTGTTGCCACACTCGACATGGACGACATTGATCCAGAAACGCGAGGATATCGAACAACATGTAAAATCAGCTCCTTCTCCAACGCCATTAACGATTTGTGATTTGGTGCTTACGGTGGTTACAATGCGTGGCATGAACCTTGTGCAAATGAAATTGTATGATGCCTGCATGTATATGAAACCATCGACTGTATTATTTTTATTCGAACTGGAACTGTGTGTCGAGCACGCGTATTCGTGGCTGTGTCAAAATACGCACTATGTCAGCGAGAAATATAAACAATTTGTAACTATATTAAAACGGAACAGTATTGCGCATAAACATGAGGCCGTCAAAATCCTTCGTGAATATTATGATAAAAATTCTCCTGCGGATTGCGAGCTGTTGACATTTGCAGTGGATAATATGTTATACGATGCTATTAATAATTAAATAAAAAATATATCTAATTTTGTAATTACATAATTTATACTCTCACTGAATTGTAATAAAAGATTAAATATATAAATTTTATAAAAAAATAGCAAAAATTTCTTTCCCCCCTTTTACCGACATCTGACAATTACCTCTTTCTGATAATTACCAAATAATTTATACTCTCACTGAATTGTAATAAAAGATTAAATATATCACTTTTATAAAAAAATAGTAAAAAGACATCTAATTTCTTTCCCCCCTTTTACCGACATCTGACAATTATCTCTTTCTGATAATTACCAACCATTGATATCAATTACCGACCTAATTACCAACCGTTGATACTAATTACCGACCTAATTACCAACCGTTGATACTAATTACCGACCTAATTACCGACCTAATTACCGACCCCCCACCACAGCGCTCCCCCAACGGTCGGGCCCCCCCACCCCACTCCCCCCTGGCCCTCGATTCCCCCCTCCCCCGCACCCCGGCCCCCACCCCACTCCCCCCTGGCCCTCGATTCCCCCCTCCCCCGCACCCCCTCTGGGACCATGGCTCAGAACTCCCCTTATACACCTACTCACGTCATTATTTTTCGTCGTCACCCGTAAGTAAGTGACGGCCGAATAGGCAGCGAGTGATGCATCGCAGAATCCGTGTAGTTCCACAGTAACTTCGTCGGCTCCGTATTGGATCCATCTCGGGAATTTTAGTTCTTTGAGACTGCTCCAATCCCTGCAAAACGTGTTCCACGTTTTTTGCGTGTCCGTGGAAATTTGGTCGTCCCACTGGATTTTCTCCAGCCATTGGGACTGCATCAGAATTTTTGCACGGATTACGACTGGTGATAACCAGCCGAGGGGATCGAAGAGCTTCGCGATCTCCGAGAACAAATTTCTTTTTGTCATCGGTAACGCAGACGGTTGAAACCGTTGCAGATCGAAATGGAAGTAGTCTCCGGATGGGATCCATCGTAGACCAAGCACTTTCAGTTCGGAATCGTCGAACAGAGTGAGGTCTACGGCGTGGGAGTGAGCACCTTGGGGGATGTTCCGCAATAATTTCGCGGAGTTTCCAGCCCATTTCCTCAACTTGAACCCACCGCCCTGCAGGAGATCGCAGACTTGCTTGCGAATTTTCTCCAGCAGGGTTTTGTTGGACGCTCCCATAAATACGTCGTCGACGTATATGTCCCTCTCGAGGATCGGAGCGGCGAGAGGGTACCTCTCTCCATCCTGCTCCTTTAATTCGAGGAGGGTACGCATCGCTAAATATGGGGCGCACGCCGTACCGTATGTTACGGTTGTGACGAAAGTCACTCGACAACGCCGCGACCCCGGCAACCCGCCATCCACCGGCCTCGCGCGGACAACCTCCGACGGTGGCCGCGACGCGGCGCCGCGCCGCTAACCGCTCTCGCAGCCGAACGCGCTCGTAGCCGAGCATATAAGGAGAGCCCCGGTACTCTCCCATCGAGTTCTCTCGAAGCTGGAACAATCTAGTTCATGCGAAAAAGGAGAACGCCCAACCGCAGGGAAGAGACCCTCGGTTGTCACCCGTAGGGTTCGCCGAAACAATCGAAACCGCGGGGTCGATACCCCGGTGCGCCGCGCCGCGAAAATCAGATTGCTGCAGCGCCCGCGTGCGCTTACGTACCGAGCCGAATCGCACTTGTCTTAGTTCATATTCTACTTTATCTTGTCTTAGTTCATATCCTACTTTATCTTAGTCTTAGTTCATATCATACTTTATCTTAGTCTTAATCATACATTGTCATATCTTATAAGCGCGCATACTCACGCCGGACCGGGTTACTTCCAGACCGCCGGAACCGCAGGACCAACCGCCGTCCACCCGGCAATCTCCAGAGTCCGGACCGAGGAGTTGTGATTAATAAAAGGATTTATTTACCGTTACCAGCTCATAGTCGTTTGTACCCGCCCGATCCCGCTCCTCCGCGTGGCCGCTGCTTCGGGAGGAGGCCCGAACGCGGTACCGCGACCCACCGGCGCCACCTACCCGGCGTGTCCCGGAACTCGCGTTACAAGTTGTTAGTATATTACCCAATTTAAGTATAATTGGCCTGTGATCAGAGTTTAGTGCATTTTTTACACAGATCTGAGAAATATTGTGGATGCCTTTATTGACTACTATATCTATTGTCGTTGGGGTCATGTTATTCATAGGATAGTGTGTTGGCTCATTGGGATATAGGATCGCACAATTATTCTGTTGGACAAACTTATGTAAGGTTAAGCCATTCCTATTGGCAACATGGCAGTTCCAAGCCTGATGCCTAGCATTAAAATCACCTACCAATATCACTCTGCTACTAACGTTCAACATATTTCCTAACTCTATATCATTAAAATAATTTCTAGGATTATTATAAATTGCTATAATACTGACATTATTTTCAAGCATAATGCCTACATATTCTAGAGATGTTCTTTGGTTTACCTTAATAATTGATGTGGTATGTGCTGTTTGACTAACATAGCTACTCCTCCTGCCGCATTATGTCTACATTGTTTTAATGTAATATAATTTCTGATTTTAGATTATCAGTAGCTTTTAGTTTGGTTTCATTTATCAACATAATATCTATATCTTGTCGCGTTAGAAATTCTATTAATTCTCCTATCTTGTTTCTAATACCATTTGCATTCCAACTTGCCACTGTTAGTGTCTTCTTCATTCCATTTGTTGACAGAATTTTACAAATTGTTCAAATTTTTGTGTACCTGTAGTGCACTTGGTCATTTTTTCGTTTAGCTCTCTAATTGCCTTTAACATTCTCGGTATATTAATATATTCATTCAGTTTCCCTGATTTCGTCCATCAATTCCACAAGTTGCGGGAGGTCCTCCTCCTTATCTTCATCTTCTATCCTGGAACTGGGCTGCCTTATTCCTTCCTGATGTCTCCCTGCCATTCCATTGTCCCATACAGTGACTGCTGTACTTCTTTCCCGATGTAGCGTTTTCAATTTTGGAAATTCCTCCATGTTGTTTATATCCATTACTTTGATGTCTGGTCCTTTGTATCTAGTTTTAACTGGTTGTTTAGCTGCACTCTTTGTTTCTACCCATTCCAATCTGTCTTTGTATGCCCTACATATAATTGCGTTGGCAGTATGGTTGCCATTACAATTGACGCACTTTGCTGGTTCCTCCCTGGGCTTTGTGCACTCTCTTGTCCAGTGCTTTTCTGCACACTTGACACAGGCTGGGTCTGCGTAACAATTGGTAGCTGAGTGCCCCCATTCTTGACACCTGTGACACTGTGTGAGTTTCCTTTTAACTATATAATTTTCCCATGCTACTTTGACATAGCATAGGTGTCTTACGTTCGCCTGTAATTGTTTTAGGTTCACTGATATTGGTACTGTGACCATATATAATGGCCTCGCTGTACCTTTCATTTTGTTAACCTTCTCTGCTATAATTCCTTTCTCCTGCAGTTCCTGTTTGAGTTCTTCCTCCTTTATTTGATCGTGCAGACCTGAGAGTACGTACACTCTCTTTTTATGTTCCTTCTAGTGTACGTATGAAATTTTACATTCTTTTCGGTCCATGTTTCAATGAGATTTTCATAATCTTCCGGTTCTTGCAAATGAACATCAACCGTGTCCTTGTGATACTTTATATGGAAATTATCTTTTACTGTATCTTTAATAAGCTTTATAAATAGCTTATGGTCCTGTATAGTTCC